TTTTGTTAGCATGTAATCCTGTAATTAATGGGACAAATTTGCTCACTGATATTAACTATCTCCATTAAGATAAACAACGGTTCATTAGCAAATTAAAGGTTCTAGCTATTTAAAGGGGCAATGCTACTAATGAGCTAAGTATTAAAGTAAATATTCACATTAAATGTTATTTCATACATCACATGACTTGGTAGATAGCAAAAAAACACTAAAAGTATCTTATTGCACTGTACTCACCATTTTACGTAAAGGAAGCACTTTATGGCTTGTCTTTGGCATATATGAATTGCCAGGATGACCACTTGTCTTGTGGGGCCATTATTAAATAGAATAAGGGTTACTTGATTTAAAAAAAAAAAAAAAAAAAGCACTGCACTACAGCAACAGTTGATTTGATAACCAAGAGTAAAGGTTTTATGGTGTATAGAATGTATGGTTATGCTGGACAAAAGGATGAGCCACATCCCAGACACGCTACTCAGAACAGCATGCAATTTAAAACTTATTTACTTCTAGAATTTTACATTTAAAATTTTTAGACCGTGGGTGCCTCAGGTAACTGAAACCACAGAAAGGGAAACTACAGGGTGGACTACTGTACTACGTTCAAAAAAAGCTGAGCTGTCACATTAATTTACAGTTACCAGCTGTTAAAAAGCTAGAGATTCATCCAGCTTTTCCATCTTTGCCTTAACATAGATTTAAAAGGCTTAAAAGACCTATTTAAATTTCCCAGTGAACCTTCCCTTTAAAAATCTACCTAAACCTTTAGCTTTAGGGTTTAATACAACCACAGCAACAATGGTTGCAAAAGTAGAGAAAACCTAGTGGTTTCCTCTTGAAAATAAGTTTTTAAAGACCAGAATTTACATACTCAAGTCAGACCATAATCTGCCCAATTAAAGCAAAATCCTTAGGCTAAACAATGCCCTATAATTTTTTCCCCTTCAGTAACTGCTTCTACACAAAAATAACTTAAGAAAACCCCAGAATCATAAAGCTGAAACTTATAGCTCTCTGCCCTCATTTTACAGATGCAGTATCACATATCTTGTCTCTGCCCCTTCCCCAAAAGAAAACAAAAAACCTGCAGAGACCAGAACAGTAATGAAACTACAGAGTAGACAACAGCTAAAATTATTAAAAAGTAAACACAAGTAGTCATTAGACATAAATAAACCAACTGGAGAAAAGAAAACCAGTACTGCTTTTAAATAATTTTATTTTTTCTAATTTTTGTTACTTTAATTTCCCATAGCACCTTGGCAATGTTGAAAACAAAAATATACAAATACAGGATGTACTCATTTTAACATAATATGCATGAGCATGTGTCACACCATTTTTTAGGGGGAGGCACGAACAGTTTTGACAACAGGAACAAAACTAAGCAATGGACAAAATAGAAGCCAGATAACTGGTTCTAGACCTCCTAGCCCAAACAATTAGGAGATGTCACTCAAGGGGCACTTGAATCAGGGAAAACACAACAACCATCAATGTTGATGTTTCTTTACACTATATACTAATCAGTGTTTTGTGCTGCAAAACTGAAAATAAAACCATTTTATTTTATAAATAGCCTGTTGGTATCTGAGTTGTACTTTTAGGAACCGTCTACTCAGCAACTCATAAGAAGTTCTCAGCTTAAAAAAAAAAAATCGTTAAATCATTTAATTATCAGGTGAATTTTGAAAGAGAATTTACTCTCAACTTAAAAATAAATCTCTCAACTTCTTAAAATGTCTTCATTCAGCTAATGAAAACTGAAATGTCTATCTTCTTGGAAGCTCAGACAAACTAAATTAGCATACACCAAAAAGCCTAAAGTTAAATTTTATAGCCACCAAATAATAATAAAATGTAAAAAATTAGGGGAAAAAAATCACTATCATATAATTAAGAATCTTTAAAAAAATCCTTCAAAAGGAATATACGGTCCTCTCTTGCATTTTATCTTTTGTGTAAAAAACAAAATGTATTCTTTTAAAATATGGTTAACATATATGGCCAACACAAACATCAGAGACTTAACCCCAGTGTTGTTCAACTGTATTAAAGTAAAACCAGTGGACAGTCAAACCAAAAAACTAAATATTAAGGCCATAACTAAGAAAACTAGAGAAAGTACTTAGTAACTTTTAAATACTATTTTCTGACCCAACAGATGCTAATACTGCATCATTAATCCTTTTGCAAAGCAAACACGATCATTTAAAAAGAAAAAGGAATGTGAAACAAAACTGAAGCTACCTTAATTTTAGGAACCAAAAATAAGTTTAAAAATCCGTGTGTAATTTGATCACATGCAAACTGGGCACCTAAAATGAGAACAATAAACCTATCACCGAAAGATTTTATCTTCTTCCAAAATCCAGTTGAAAAAATTTAGACGGATCACTCTTTTGAATGCCAGTGTCTATACTTGCAAAAAGAAGTTACTCAGATTAGAGACAGGCCCTAGATATCATAAAAACTTTTTCAGGATAGAAAATGGAGACACGTTTTGCAATATCTCTATATACCTTCTCTATGAAGTGCAAGGTGGTGAACTTGTGTGACTCTTTCTCTTCATGCAGTAAGAACTATGGCAGCAGATCATGGTACCATACATTCAATATCATTTTGTATCTACTTTAGCTTCCAACAGCCCAAGGAAGTGTTAAGCCATAAGGATGAAGACAAAAAAAATCAACATTTAAATTCCTCTTTCTAAAGAACCAAATAGCCCTGGCTGGTATGGCTCAGTTGGTTGGAGCACTGTCCCATACACTGAGAGGTGGCTGGATCGATTCCCAGACAGGGCACATACCCAGGTTGTGGGTTCAATCCCCAGTCAGGGTGTGTATGGGAAGCAACCCATTGATATTTCTCTCACATCAATGTTTCTCTCTCTCTCTCCCATCCCTCTCTCTAAAATCAATGAAAAACATTTCCTCAGGTGAAGATTAAAAAGAAAAAGAAAGAACCAAATAAATAGTTCAACTATAATGAATGTTCAACCCTCATCAGTCAGAGTAATGCTTAGGGCGGGGAGGAGCCAACAGTTTCACACAACTCATAGGCATCATTTAGATACAAACCTTATATCTGCTGTAATAAAATAAATGCTAAATACATACTGTGAATATATATATATTATATACACACACATTTATTCTTCCCTATACATCTCATTAAAATGGGAATTATTAGTTGTAATGAGGCAAATTAAATTAAAACAATATATTTCACAAGAAAACTTAAAAGGTCATGTCTTTAAATTAAATTTCTACTTTCAATAACATTTTGGGAAAAAGCAAGAACATACTTGCTTTCTTCAAAAAGAAGACTTCTCTTGTTTCAATTAGAATACTTACTTTTTAAAAGTCAGAGTAAGTCACACAGCATACAAATAATACAAGCCCACTTCTGTGACACATTGTAAAAAAAAGTAATGTTTCATTTCAAGTGCAATAATTAAGTTTATAATCTCTGCCAAGTGATTTTTATAAAAATGTTTATTCTCTTAAATTCAATGCATCCACAGAGTGTTAACACTTTAAATGTCTATCATTTCCACCAACTGCAGCATTATCTAGGTAAACCAAAATAAGCATTTCTATCATAGATATAGTCAATGATTATTAATACTTTTTAAAAAAGAACCTAAACTTCCCTCAAATTTCAGCACAGGTAGTTTAACTGTATGCTTCATTTGTAGATGGTTAAAAAAAAATAGCGGGTAGAAATGATTCTCCTTATTTAAATGTAATATGTTATCAACCCACCAAATCAAAAGCAATTGCCAAGCTGAAGAAGTTACAAAGAAATAATAACTCTGGCTTGTACAGAAATGTGCAGTGTTTTCAAAGCTCTGAACAGTTAGTCACTAATACAAATCTCCAAAGCTTAACTTAGAGAGTTGGAAGATGAGTTTCACAGTAATGTAATTTTAACCTCCATTTACATTCATTTTAATATATTACTAAGATGTTTACTCTATGTCACAATGGTGCTTTCCAGTGTTCACAATTTACAGTTTCAATTTGTACATATGTCATTCACTAACAAAAGGGACAGTTATTACTACTACAAACTATCACTAAAAACAACAACAAAAAAACCACCAAAAAAACAAAAACAAAAAACCCACCTTACAAAGAACTCTGAAAATGGTATGACTTAAACAGATTAATGCAATATGGTTTTTAATATTTTAGCCACTTTCTAAACACCAGCATGTAAACTTGCCTATTTAATATGAGAGCTACAACTTTATTCACTGAGGCATTATGTATTAATTTTCCTCAACTATCTTTTTCACTTTACTCAAAAATTTCCTGACTTGCTGGTTCTGTTTCTATGAATTCCAAACTTTTTTGAAGAAAGGGAAGGAAGGTAGGTTATGATAAATACACTGTAAACAGAAAAAGCTGCCCCCAAATTAAGCCTTTTAAATAAGTTCTTTTTACTTCTACATTATTTAACACTTTAAAGAATCAACTACAATGTTTCATCTTTAACACTAACACAATAAATTACTGTACGGTCAGTCTGCTCGACTATTCTGGGATCTAAACTTCTAAATAAATGAACAAAAGAGTAAAATACTTTACTGTTCAATTCAGAAATTTAGAACAGCTACATGATTTGACTAGATTGGTCAAGGCAGTTAGAAACATACAATTATGTAGGTGGTTGGTTATTTTGCTTTTGGGGTTTGGTAGTCAAAGAACAGAGTAAAATGAAGTTAACACAAAAATATTATTTCCTATTTTAGGTGAGAAAGAAAAATCACAGGTCAGTTTAAACTTTGAAGTCCATTTGACCTACCTAGCTCAGACCTAAGACAGATTTTTCAATTATCTGAATAATTCCCATTCTTTCCTTGAGTATCAAACTGATTGGTAGTCACATCTCTAAGTACAATTAGAATTTAAAAGCTTGTTGAATGAAATATTAGTAAGGTCAAAAAAAACTACATATCAAACTGGAAAAAATATCTACTCAAGTACGTATTACATTCAGTTTTCAAATCATTTACTAACACTTTTGTCTCCAGTCATTCTTGCACACACACAACACAACAGGCAACCCAGCCACTGATCTGCTTTGCAACACAAGGCCATATAGGCTGAGATGGCATCCTCCAAGCCAAACTTTAAATAGATTAAAAAAAGTAATTTCTAATTTTACAGAAATGCTTCTTCAAAAAAATATTTTCTCTCACTCCCTCATCTCCTATGCTGAAGGATGTGTAGTATTTTTTCCCCCAAATAAATCTGAACCCTCAAAATTGATTCCAGGAAGATCTCTGCAAATTAAAATCAAAAACAAAAATAGAAAAATTATATTTTTATATATGTATACATATATATATATATTTATATTGATTGAAATCCTCCAGCATTTTAAAATCACTTTAGAGATGAATTTTGGGATTCTACCACTCACAACTCCAAAATCCATAATGATTTAAGAATATACTTTCCTCCTGTTTTCCTTTCTGGTTACCCTCTCCCCTCCAAAACAGTTCAATATAGCCACGGCTCAAGTTTAATGGGAAGAGAGAAGTTTTTGAAGTTTTGTTTTACTTTGGTGATCTGGGTGGCACATATTGCTCTTTGCCATTACGTCGAGTCACTCCCTGAGGTATAGCCCTGTGGCCAAACTGGCGTCTCTGTTCCCTGATTTTCCCAGTTGCTCCCCTGGGAATGGTATTGCCTCGGAAGCCAGAATAATCCTTACTAGCCCTTGCTTCTGGCTTCTCATGTGGCTTCTCAATGCACTTCTCAGGAGCTCCATTCTCTTCATTTTTGGTGGGAGACACTACATTGGACCGAAGTTCTCGTAGTGGCTGCACAGGAACTGGAGATGGCTCTTTAGGGGGTTTCTGGCACACTTCGGCATAACTTAGCTTTCGTGGTTCCTTTGAAGAAAAAAAAATGTATGATGCACATTCTCTAAGTAATAAAGTACAAAAAGGATAGTATCAATCACAAGAAAATCAGTAAGTTATTTTCTATGAAAGGGTAATGGGCACTCTCATAGACAATGCGATTAAAGTGTATCAGTACAATCTTTTTACTTACTGATTTAGAGAGTGGAGCTGGGGGGAGAGCACAAGAGAAACACTGATTTGTTGTTCCACTTATTATGCATTCACTGGTTGCCCTGCAATCCTGGTGTATCTGGACGATGCTCTAACCAACTGAGCTACCCAGCCAGGGACAGTATAATCTTCGACTGATGTTTCTCTCTCACATTGATGTGTCTCTCTCTCACAAATCCCCTCCTCTCTCTCTCAAATCAATAAATATATCTTCCAGTGGGATTAAAAAAAAAAGGTCTGGGCGAGGGGGTGGGATGGGGAAGAGGGTGTCTAGGGGGAAAAGGGGAAATATCTGTAACAAAAATAAATTAATAAAAATTGAAAAAAGAAAAAAGAAATAAAATCCTGCCATTGGCAACAAAGAAAAAAAAAGAAAGTATGCCCGGCTGGTGTGGGGCTCAGTGGTTGAGTGTCGACCCATGCACTCAGAGGTCACCGGTTCGATTCCCCATCAGGGCACATGCCCAGATTGTTGGCCCAAACCCCAGGGGGAGGCATGCAGGAGATGGCCAATCAATGTTCTCTCTCATCGATGTTTCCATCTCTCTCTCCTTCTCCCTTCCTCTCTCTCTCTAAAAATCAATAAAGAAAAAAAAAACAGGAAGAAAAAAGAAAGTACGTTTGTTGAAAATAATAAAAACTGTTGCAATTTATGTGTGAAACAATAATTTCACTTGAGAAATTTATCTGAAGGATTTCATGTTAGTACTGTTTATAGAGATGAACTGGAAACAATCTAAATGTCTAACAAGAACAGATTAAATTAATAATGTTCTATTCATATGATGAAATAAAATGGTTTCATTCTCTCTTTTCTGGATACAAAGAATCCTGAGAGGGATTCTATAAGAATCTCTGTAGAGCAGTTGGAAACCAATCATATATTAATAGAACACAAATTAAAAGCCTTAATTACTTCATCTGAAAAAGGAGGACATCAGAGGTGTTGTGAAAATAGAATAAACCATGTAAAAAGTCTTTAACAGTGATCCTAGCACATAGTAAGTATTCGATACTTCGTAGCAGTTATCCTATTATTACTTCTAATAGTAAATCACAAGATAAAATGTTCTTTTTATAAAAATGTTTTTATTTATTGATTTGAGAGAGACAGAGACAGAAAAACATTGATTTGTTGTTCCACTTATTCATGCATTCATTGGTTGATTACTCTATGTGCCCTGACTAGGGATTGAACCCACAACCTCTGCTTTATCAGGATGATACTCTAACCAACTGAGCTATCAGGCCCAGGATAAAATGTTCTAAACCTAGAAAAAAAGAAAAAGCTGTACCAAAATGCTACTAGTTATATCAATAAATGAAAGGTAAATTTTGCAGTATTTTCCTCCCTGCTTTTCTGTATTCTCCTAATTATAAAAATGATTCTGGAAATTGAATAAAAATGAGATTGGTCCCCTCATGAAATCCATAGCCTTGTTAATTATTATATTAAAAATAAATAAATAAAAATCAAGAGGCGCAAAGCCTCTTTATATTAACCTCCAAATGATACACACAATTTAGATAAGAAGCTTCATTTACCCATAATATGATCAGATAAAAAAGTAATCAAAAGAAACAAAATGAATAGTAACATCTTCACTCCCTCAACATGCCTAAAATTCCCCATTTCTTCACAATGACTTTAAACTCTTTTAGCTGTTTTTGGATGCAGGCAACCCCAATTTGGGCTATTTCCAAATGATTCTGCTATAGCAAACAGTTATGGGGGAAAAAAACCTCTCAATATATAACTTATTTTTTTCTCATACAAACCAAATTCATCAGGTTACCTGTAGGGCCACAGTTACAGCTGCATTTATGTTACCATTACACGGGGAAGCAGTATTTGTCCTTGATGGCTTTGCAGGACTTGGGGAAGAAACTGATATAGTTGTTGTGCTAAGAACATCCTTCTGAACAGTGGAATCCTCTATTAGATCCTTTTCTTGCTGAGTTGTGCTAAGAAAAAAAGAGTTTCATATTAGACCTAGTATAGCACACAGAAACAGGTGAGCAAATTATTAGAAGAAAAAGTAATCTTAATGTGGAAGGTCTACTATATTGAAACCTGTACCTTAATGCAGGAGGCTCAGCTGTACATGAAGGACTGGTACTAGTACTGAGTTGCTGGGCAGAGGTGCAGTCTGTCTGTTCATCCTCTGCTGGCACTGGGCAACTAACTTGTCTCAGCTCTTCATTATCCTTGAAGTAAAAACATAAGTAAAATACAGCACAGGGAATGTAGTCAATAACTATGCATTATGTCAGGCAGGTACTAGACTCATCAGGGGCATCACTTTGCAAGTTATATAAATGCCTAACCACTATGCTGTACACCTAAAACTAATATTGAATGTCAACTGTAATTGAATAAAAAAATTTGAAAATGGTCAACAAGTATATATGAAAAGATGTTCGCCCTGGTTAGTTTGGTTCAGCAGTTAGAGCATTGGCCCTCGGACCAAAGAGTCTCAGTTCGTTCCTGGTCAAGGGCATGTACCCTGGTTGTGTATTCGATCCCCAGCCCCTGTTGGGTTGTGTGGGAGACAACTATCGATGTGTCTCTCTCACATCAATGTTTCTCCCTCCCTCCCACACTAGCTAAAAATATTAATCGAAAAATATCCTCAGGTCAGGATTAAAAAGAAAAGATGTTCAACATCATTAGTCATTAGTTGTTAGGACAATGCAAATCAAAACCACCAGAAGAAACCACTTCACACTTTCTAGGATGGCTATTATTAGTAAGATGGACAACAACAAGAGTTAGTGATGATATGTAGATATTGGAACCCTCATACATTGAGGGTGGCAATGTCAAAAGACATGCCACTTTAGAAAACAGTGTGGCAGATCCTCGAAAAGTTAAACTCAGTTACCATAATTCAATCTTGAGTACACACCCAAGAGAAAACATACATCTGCAAAAAACCTATACAAAAATGTACATAGTAGCATTATTCATAATAGCCAAAAGAAGTGAAAACAACCTAAATGTTCATCAGCTGGTGAATGGATAAACAAAATGTGAAACAGTAGTCTGCCCCTTATCACCAAGTGATGTTTCAAGAACCCCTTAAATTGCAGATAGTACCGATCTCTATATATACAATGATTTTTCCTACACATACATACCTATCATAAAGTTTAATTAATAAATTAGGCCCAGTGATACATTAAAAACAACTAATAACAAAACAGAACAATTACAATAATATACTGTAATAAAAGTTTTGTGAATATGGTCTGTCTCTCAAAATACAGTTGTCCCTCGCCACTTTGCGCTTCGACATTTGCGGCTTCACTCTTTTGCGGCTTCACTCTATCGTGGCTTCACTTCAAAGCGCGAAGTGGTGAGGAATGACTGAATAAAAATAAAGACTCCTACTTCGCGGATATTCATTATCATGGTAGAGTCTGGAACTGATTAACCGCGATAAACGAGGGCCAAATGTATATTACTGTACTGTAAACCATTTCACTTAACGGAAGCATTCTATGGCTTCTCTTTGGCATACACAAATCACCAGCATCACTACTCTCGTGCTTTGGGGCCATTATTAAGTAAAATAAGGGTTTCTTAGACACAGCACTGTAATACACTGACAGCTGATCAGATAACTGAGAGAGACTAAACACTGGGTAGTGTTTACAGTATGGGTACGCTGGACAAAGGGATAATTTACACCCCAGGCAGGCTACTCAGAACAGCAGGCAATTTCAAACATATGAAGTGTGCCTAGCTGGTATGGCTCAGTGGATTGAGCGTTGTCCCATGGACGGAGAGGTCCTGGTTTGATTCTCGGTCAGGCACATGCCCAGGTTCTGGGCCCAATCTCCAGTAGGGAGTGTGAAGGAGGCAGCTGACTGATGTTCTCTCTCTCACATCGATGTTTCTATCTCTCTCCCCCTCCCTCTCTCTCTAAAAAGACAATAAAAATATATTTAAGAAAAAAACAAAACAAAAAATGTATGAATTGTTGCCTGGCTGGTGTGGCTCATGGTTGGGTGTCTTCCTGTGAACCGAGGGGTTGCCAGTTCAATTCCTGGTCAGGGCAATGCCTGTATAGGAGGCTTGATTCCCGGTTGGGGACATGCAGGAGGCAGCGATCGATGTGTTGCTCTCACATTGACGTCTCTGTCTCTATCTCCCCCGCCACTACTAAAAAATTAAAATAAAATAAAAAGTGTGTGTGTGTGTGTGTGTATATATATATATATATATATGTATATATTGCCCTGATTGGTGTTGCTCAACGGTTAGTGTCAGCCTGTGCGCTGGGGGGGTCTCAGGTTCAATTCCAGGTCAAAGACACGTTCCTGGGTTGCAGCTTCATCCCCACCCAAGTTGGGGCACGTGTGGGAGGCAACCAATCGATGAGTCCTTCTCACGTTGATGTTCCTCTCTCTTTCTCTCCTTCCCATCCTCCCTTCCATTCTCTAAATACCAATGTAAAAAATATCCTCAAGTAAGGATTAACAACAAAAAATAATCTTTTAATAAAACTTAGAATTATTTCTGGAACTTTCCATTTAATATTTTTAAATCGTTGTTGCCATGGGTAACTGAAACCACATAAAGCAAAATTGCAGATAAAGAGGGGGACAGGACTACTGTAAATTGACACAATGAAATGTCACTGAACAATGAAAGAAAGGTACTGACACATGCCACAACAATGGATGAATCTTGAGGACACCATGCTAAGTGAAATAAGCTAGGCACAAAAAGACAAAATACTCTATGATTCTACTTTCATGAGGTACCTAGAATAGTCAAATTGGTGGTTACCAGGGACTGAGGGAAGGGAGAATGGGATTTGCTATTTAATGGTCGTGTTTATAGTTTTGCAAGATGAAAAGAATCCTGGAGATTGGCTGCATAACAATGTGAATGTATTTAACACTAATGAACTGAGCATACTTAACAATGGTTAAAATGGTAAATTTATGTTATGTACATTTTAGCACAATTAAAACAAGAAAAAAATAAGACAGGTACAAAGATCAAAATTAGGAAAGCCAAAACAAGAAAACCAAGGTCCAATATTAAATTAAGGGTTCAAGAAAGAGTCAAGAAGTGAAGAATTTACTAAGAGAAATAGAGTTAAGTTTTCCCACATGGAAAATCATGAATTTCTAAATTTAAAAAGTCCACCAAAGCATCTAAGTACAATGACAAAAAAAAAAAAAAAGAGCCACAGCAAGACACATCATAATTAAATTTCACAGATACCAGGGATAAATAAAATGTCCTAAAAGTCTTGGGGGGTGGGGGTGGCACACAGGTTATCAGAGAATCAAAATCATACTTTCTGAAATGAGTCTCTGAAAGCAAGATATAAAAAGAACAAACCAGCCTGAGTTGAGGGTTTGATTCAGGTCAAGGGTATATACCTCAGTTGCGGATAGGTTCTGGCCCTGACAGGGTCATGCCAGAGGCAACCAGTTGATGTGTCTCTTTCATGTTGATGCCCTTCCCCCACACTCTATCTGAAGATAAATGGAAAAATATCCTCAGGTGAGGATTTAAAAAAAAAGAACAATAACAAACCAGTCTGGCCTGTGTGGCTTAGTAGTTGAGCCATGCACCAGGAGGTCACTGGTTTGATTCCTGGTCAGGGCACATGCCCAGGTTGTGGGCCAAAGCCCCAGTAGGGGGCATGCAGAAGTTGGCCAATTGATATTCTCTCTCATTGATGTTTCTATCTCTCTTTCTCTCTCCCATCTTCTCTCTCTAAAAATCAATAAAGGAAAGAAAGAAACAAACAAACAAAAACCCCAGCCAAATATAACCATATTAAAATTAAGAACTTGTTTTTACCCAGAAATACTAAAGACTGAAAACAAACCATTAGTAATATACATAACTGACAAATAATTAGTACCCAAAATATTTTTATTTTCATTATTATTACTTTTTAAAATATTTTTTACTTTATTGATTTTAGGAAGTGAGAGAGAGAGACAGACAGACAGACAGAAAACATCAATGAGAGAGAACACTGACTAGCCACCTCCTGCATGCCCCCCACCGGGGACTGGGCCCACAGCCTGGGCATGTGCCCTGACCAGGAATCCAACCGGCAACCTTTTGATGCATGGGTCGATGCTCAACCACTGGCTGGGCTGCAAAATATTTTTAAAATAGGAGATAACCCAGACTTCCCATCAAGATGGAGGTGTAGGTAAACACGATATCGCCTCCTCCTACAACCACTTTAAATCACAACTAAACTACAACACAACCATCATTCAGAACTGCCTGATATAGAGCTGAATATAAGTCCTACAACTACGAAATTAAAGAAGCAGCCACACCGAGACTGGTAGAAGGGGTGGAGGCCCAGAGCCAACACACCCAGTGGACAGCCTCAGACCACATTGAAACACCACCACCCAACCACCACCACAAGTGACACACTCAATGAGCGGACTCAGTGGGTACCAGAGCCTGGATGAAGTAAGTCTTGCTCTGTGTGGTGGACCCCTACACAGTTGATCCTCCAAGGAAGTCAGAGGCCAGTGGTCATTGGGCACAGCCAGTCCTTGCAGCTGATCAGCCTGAGTAAATCTTTCTCATTGATGTGTCAACAGCAATCAAGACTCAATTACAACAGTACGGTGTACATTCCACACTAGGGGTGCACCTCAAGGACCCAGGTGGGGTAATCAGGGAGGCTTCCTACAGGCTACCTACAGGCCACCCTATGAAGCTTAGGAGACATAGTAACTCTACCTAATACATAGAAACAATCACAGGGAAGCAGCCAAAATGAGAAGACAAAGAAACATGTCCCAAACGAAAGAAAAGAAAAAAACTCCAGGGAAAGAATGAAACAAAATGAAGATAAGCAATCAATCAGATGCAGAGTTCAAAACACAGGTTATAAGGTTGCTTAAGGAACTTGGTGAGACATTCAAGGAACTTAGTGAGAACATCAACAACATAATAAAGGACCAGTCAGAAATGAAGGATACACTAACTGAAATAAAGAATAATTTACAGGGAATCAATAGAAGAGTAGGTAAAGCCAAGAAGCAATCCATCAATATAAGGAAGCAATATAAGGAAGTAAAAAACACCCAATCAGAACAGCAAAGAGAAAAAAGAATCCAAAAAAATGAGGGTAGGGTAAGGAGCCTCTGGGACAACTTCAAGTGTGCCAACGTTTGCATCATAGGGGTGCCCGAAGGAGAAGAGAGAGCACAAGAAATTGAAAACCTATTTGTAACAATAATAACAGAAAACTTCCCTAACTTGGTGAAGGAAACAGACACACAAGTCCAGGAAGCACAGAGTCCCAAACAAGACGAACCCGAAGAGGTCCACACCAAGAAACACCATCATCAAAATGCCAAAAGTTAAATGCAACGAGAGAATCTTAAAAGCAGCAAGAGAAAAGCAGTTCGTTACCTGCAAAGGAGCTCCCATAAGACTGTCAGCTGATTTCTCAAAAGAAACTTTGCAGGCCAGAAAGGAGTGGCAAGAGATATTCAAGGTAATGAAAAGCAACGACCGACAACCAGGATTAGTCTATCCTGCAAAGCTATCATTTAGAATTGATGGATGTATCAAGAGTTTCCCAGACAAGAAGAAGTTAAAGGAGTTCACCACCACCAAACCAGTATTATATGAAATGTTAAAGGGTCTTCTTGAAGGAGAAGAAGAACAAAAATATGAACAATAAAATGGCAATTAATACATATCTATCAACAATTGAATCTACAAACAAATTGAGCAAGCAGAACAGAAACAGTCATAATACAGAGAACTTTTTGTTGCTTGCCAGATGGGTGGCGCCTGGGGGCATTGGTGAAACAGATGAAGGAATTAAGAAGTACAAATTGGTTGTTAGACTGACGAACCTCAAAGGGAAGGAGGGAGGGAGGGCAGGATGAGATAAACCAAAAAACTTATATGCACATATGCATAACCAATGGACACCGACAATAGTGTGGGGAAGGCAGGAGGGGAGCGGGATTGAGGAGGAGAGGGTCAATGGGGAAGCAAAAAGGGGAACATCTGTAATACATTCAATAATAAAGATGAGTTAAAAAGAGAATGAGATAACCCAATTATAAAGTGAACAAAACACTTGAAAAACTATAAAAGAAACTCAAATGGCCAATAAACATAGAAAAAAAATAATTTAACTTCAATAGTAATAAAGAAAAAAAAAGCCCTATCGCTCGGCAGTTCCACTATGTATATACCCTAAAAATGTTCTTGCTCACATGAATAGGAAGTCTAGACATTCATAGCAGTATTCCTTATAATGGCAGAAAAAACAAACAAGCAATGGAAATGTCCATCAATAGTAGAATGAATGTTATATTCTGACAATAGAATACTATACAACAGTGCAAAATGAAACAGTCATCTGTAGCAACAGTGATATATTTCATACAACACAGAAGAGAAGTTACAGAAGAATATATATTGTATAATTCCACTTATGTAGTGTTCAAAAACAAGCATACTCAACAATGTACCGTTAAGGTTAGCGTTTGGTAAACCAAGCCCTGCCGATTGTGTTGGTATGGCCAATGAGTTAAGAATAATAAGTTTTTAAAGGGTCAAAAATATGCAACAGCATATGGCCCACAAAGCCTAAAATATTTACTATCTGGCTCTTTACAGAATGGTAAACTATAAAGAAAAGCATTTGGTAAAATCAGAATCATTCATTTATCTTTCAGGAAGAGAAGAATAGGAAGATCTGTAAATAGAAAGAGGAGATACAGTATATGACACTGCTAAGGTACAGCCATCTCTTACCACTTTGCGCTTTGACATTCGCGGCTTCACTCTATTGTGGTTTTATATTTGAAAAAAATATGATAGAGTGAAACCGCAAACGTCGAAGCGCTAAGTGGAGAGACACGATTGTATAGTAAATAAAGAATCCTACTTCGCAGAAATTCAATCATTACGGTAGAGTCTGGAACTGATTAACCGTGATAAACGAGGGCCGACTGTACTGGTGTTTTCAGCCCACAATTGTGAGTTGGGATTACAAAGGCAAGTACACTTTATTATTATTCTTTAAAAATTTATGTGTGTAGCCCAGACAGTGTGGCTCAATGGTTGAGCATCGACCCATGCACCAAGAGGTTGCCAGTTTGATTCCTGGTTAGGGCACATGCCCAGGTTGTGGACAGGATCCCTAGTGAAGGGCATGCAGGAGGCGGCCAATCGATGTTCTCTCTCATCAATGTTTCTATCTCTCTCCTCCTCTCCCTTCCTCTCTCTCTAAAATCAATAAAGTAAAAAATATTTTTAAAAAAATGGATGTGTGTATATATCATATCTGAGTTGCCATCAACTGTAAAACACACCGTTGTTTTCTACACTGCCACTTACACTATAACAGCTTTTAATTAAAAGACAGCCTGACTTTCAAAGGTGAAAAATGTGAATCTCAGAATTGACAAAAAAAAAAACTACAATATTGCATTTTTTAACAAGACAATGATGAATACCTTCAAAATTTCACGGGAAAAACAGCTCAAATGTCCATCCACAGTAGAATGAATTCTACTAGAGAATTCTAGAGATAATGTCTGATCAAGTGTGAGAATAGAAAAACATTTTCAGAATGCAAGATCTATACAAATTTATACTAAAAATCACTTATTCAGGAAGCTTAGGAAGACGTAGCCCACCATAATATGGGAAAGTAAAACAAGAGCAAGAAAAAGAGGGAATCTAACAAAGGAGAATAAGAAAAATTCCCAGGATAATGGTAAAGTCAAGTCCCAGGAACATAGCTGTGCAGCAGCCATTGAGAACATAAGAAAGGAGAAATAATAACAGTAAACTATGATGGCATGTCTTAGTCTAACTGGTAATGCTTTTTATTTTCTTGGTGATACTAAAATAATGGGTCACCTTATAATTGATGGTACACTAGATATGATCAAGTAAAGTCTACTGGTAGGATGAGAAGAGCATGTTGCTTTAAGAGAGCTAAATCCTTAGCTTCTAGAATGTGAAGTTAATAGACATCTAAAACTGAAAAGTCAAAAAATAGCAGTATAACCATGTTAATTAGAAATACAGAAATAAATGTCAGGAGAAAAAGCTAGAGTTGAGGATGGTTGCAGGGCACTACTATTTCCAATATAAGCCTAGATATACTGTGTACATGTACTATTAAAATAAAAATTGAGCCCAGCCGGTGTGGCTCACTGGTTGAGCATCGACCCATGCACCAAGAGGTCTGATTCCCAGTTAGGTCACATGACCAGGTTGTGGGCCCGATCACCAGTGGGGGGCATGGAGGGGGAAACCAACTGATGTTCTCTCTCATGAATGTTTCTCTCTTGTGGGCCTTTCCTCTCTCTAAAATCAATAAAATATATATATAATAAAAACTGAATTAGGAAAAAAAAAGGGCAGAAAATGAGAAAAATTTGTGGGGACTGAGAATTTACCATATGGAGAGGTATACACTCAAAAGCTAAGTGACTGATAAACAAAGACATGCAAAAAAGAAAAATATTTTATTGACCTTGTGTAACTTTATCATAAATCTTTTTTTTTTTAAATCCTCATCGAAGGACATTTTTCCATTTTTGTTCAGATAGAGTGGAAGGGATGGAGGGAGGGAGGGAGGGAGGGAGGGAGGGAGGGAGGGAGGGAGGGTGAGGGAGAGGGAGAGGGAGAGGGAGGGAGGGAGAAAGAGAGAGAGAGAGAGAGAGAGAAACATCGATGTGAAAGGGACACATTGAGTAGCTGCCTCCAGCACAACCCCAACCAGGGCTGGGGACAAACTACAACCGAGGTACATGCTCTTAGCAGGAACCAAACCAGGGTCTCTCTGGACCACGGGCCGACACTCTAACCGCTGAGCCAAACCATCCAGGGCCATAAATCTTTTTTAAAATTAATTTTTAAAATATCCTCACCCAGGGATATGTTTTTTAATTGATTTTAGATAGAGAAGAAGGGGTGAGGGGAGAGCAAGAAAGCGAGCCAGAGACATCAATGTGAGAAAGCTTCCCCTATGCACCTTAACAGGGGATTGAAATACAACCTAGGTATGTGCCCTGACCAGGAGTCCAACCCGGGACAACTCTCCAACCAACTAAGCCACCTGGTTACAGGACTGTCATAAGTCTTTTTATAATACTCAAAGTATGCTGAAAATCCCATGAATAAAAACTATTTTAGAAATATTCATCAAGTACAAATAAAAACTTAAATAACAACCTTAAAACATAGGCTACATTAAAACATATACTAATACTATAGTCCCATAAAGTGGAAGATTGGATGTTTCCGTGCTTACCTTTTCTTTGTAGACACCTTTAACAACATCTGACATCCTACTCTCCAAAACAAGTTCACCTGGCGTTTTTGATGAAGTTCCAGGTAAAGGAGGAAAATTTGAGGCTAATAAGTCAAACTTTGGTGTTGGAGCCTTAGCTTCAGGTGTTGAAGGATGGGGTCTCTAAAAGACACAAATCATAAAACAGGTCACATGGCTATCTCATTCTAATTTTCTACCACAAAAGCTAAAAGCTTCAAAAAACAAACTCTACACTAATGTACAGAATGGTTCCCCAATAAATTCTTGGCTTCTCATCGCAGTTGAGATCTCATTAGTCTTTTATCCTCCTAAATATGGAACGCTTCACGTATCTGCAAGTCATCCTTGTGCTGAGTTATGCTAATTTTCTCTGTATCGTTACAATTTTAGTATATATGCTGCTGAAGGGACCACAAGCCCTCATTAGTCTTTTTTTATCCGCACCCAAGGACATTTTTGCATTTATCTTCAGAAAGAGCAGGAGAGAAAAAGAGAGGGGGAAAGAGAGAGAAACATCGACTGATTACCACCCACACGACCCCAACCAAGGCTAGGGACTGCAACCTAGGTACGCGCCCTTAGCAGGAACCAAACCTGGACTCTCTGGTCCACGGGCCAATGTCCTAACCGCTGAGCCAAACCGGCCAGGGCTCATTAGTCTTTATCAATCCTATTTACCTTCAGTCAGCTCCCTCTCCGGTTTCTTTTGCAAACTTTGCCACATTCCTAAGCCTTCTAATCAATCTCCACTATTCTTTGCTTTCTAAATGAGCTATACCCTTTTTATAACAAAAATAAAAACAAAACCCTCCCTCACATAAAGTTACCATCATCTTTTCTCCTTCCATACAGTCTCAAGAGAGAATAATATCCTTCCTTGAAAATCTCATCTTTCCTTTTTACCCTACCATCCTCTATATCCTCTGGCAAACCTCTCACTTGCTGTACTTCCTCCTCTACTTCCTTATCCCTGTACTCATCATACTACTAAGACTGTTTTGACAAGTCACCAATGTCTTCCACAATGCAAAAGCTAGAAGACGTTTTTCTCCTCACTTCACTATAGCATCTGGCAAGGTAAACATTCTTTCCTTTGGGAGCTCATTTCTCCCTTAGTTTCTGTGATACCACTTTCTCTTCCTGATGCTCAGATCTGACAATCATGTGCTCTTCTCTTCCTGCCTACTTCTTGCGATGGTTTTTGGTTTCTATACAGTTATTACTTCTCACTTTCCATACTCTCCCTGTGTGAATCCTTTATTTATGACTTCAACTACTGTCTATATGCAAACAATCCTTAAAACAATCATTTTCACTTTTTGGCTACACAATTCTGAAAATTTACCAAAAATCATTGAGTTGTACACTTCAAATATTTTGAGCCCAGACTTTCACCTGAAACCAAGATATCCACTTGCCTGCCTATCAGCTATCTCCACTCAGATTTTGCTTGGATACTTCAAACAACATAATGAATAATCTCATTTTTCAGCCCAAAGCTATTTTGTTCCCCAAGGTTCCATTCTTGGCCTTTTTTTAAAAAAAAAAATATCACTCTACAGGGAATCCCTTGCCATAATCTCATCTACACTTATGACTTCAGTTACTATGTGTAAGCTTACAAATCCTAAATTTTATCTCTACCTAAGATCTTCCTCCTGCATAAGGGCACCCCGCTTCCACCCTTCCTACTGGAAAATATGTCTGTCTCCTTTTTCTTTATCCTCACCCGAGGACATTTTTTCGATATTTTGTTCAGATAGAGTGGGAGGGAGAGAGAGAGAGAGAAACATCGACGTGAAAGCGACACATCGAATGGTTGCCACCCACACGACCCAACCAGGGCCGGGGACAAACTGCAACCAAGGTACGTGCCCTTAGTGGGAACCGAACCCAGGTCTCTCTGAACCACAGGCTGACGCTCTAACCGCTGAGCCAAACTGGCCAGGGCTGTCTCCTTTTTCTTCATCTCAACCTTCAGTCCTCAATCCAAACATTTTAACATATTAAAGAGACCAGATCTCAAACCTAATTTCTCTTCTCAATTGTTCAGGGACACTTAAGGATGTGACTGCAACAATGGTATCCCTACTGTTGCCTATAAGTCTCATGGCTGCTCATAGTATAGAAAGCTATAAATGAAAAACAACAACACTGTTTTAAAGGGTTCATAGTTTGCCCTAAGGACTATTCTTCATTATAATGTGATTCATTTTCTTCTTTGAAAATGTGTATGTTTTCAATACTTATAGATGTAATATAGGTATACTTATAACAAACAGAAAGCTATACGTATACTACTTATATATGTATATAATTCACTACCTATACATGTAAAATAAGCATTATATTACAGATTTATGATGTATCTATAAATTTTAGGCATGGTTTTCTTGAGACCTCCTTTTCTTCCGACACCATTTTTATTCCTCAACACCTTTTGGCCCCAGTTAAGAGATGGCAAATAGTCACTGTGAATAAACCACCAAAAAAAGAGAATAATTTGAAGCTAGGTAAGTTAAGATTAAATAAGAACATGTCTAGCAGTATAAACATTTTTCTATAAGCAGTTTTATAAGATTAGTGGATATAAGAATCAACGGTAGGTAGAAAATTTCCCCAAAACAACAATTAATAAACAGTATAACAGTTTGTTTCTAACACCATCCAACACAGCTCTTTAAAAATGAATGATATGCCTTATCAGACTGGCAAAAAAGTCATATCCAGCCCTGGCCAATTTGGCTCAGCTGATTGGGCATTGTCCCATGCACCAAAAGATTGCCAGTTAGATTCCTGGTCAGGGCACATACCCGGGTTATGGGCTCCATCCCTGGTGGGGGACCTGTAGCTGATTGACATTCTAACATTGATGTTTTCCTCTCCATCTATTAAAAATCAATAAACTATTCTTAAACAAAATATATCCTTTGTAAGGCTATGGATAAATAGGGAACTTTGTCCTGTTTGATAGAATTAAAATCAGCACAACCCCTATAGAAAACTATTTAGCAGTAACTTATTAAACTGTGATCCAGAAATCTAACTTCTAGAGATTCTCCTTCAGATATTATTGCACACATAGGAAATGATGGTTGTGTGAGGTTATCATTGCACTGTTTGTAAAATCAAAAGATTTAAATTACTTAAATGTCCATTAGTAAAGTAAGAGTTAAACTTTTCATAAAATATTTCCCTATTTTTTATTTTTAAATCACATGAAAATATTAGGTATTCAAGTAATTTTTTTTAAAAAAGTGAGAAACACAGGTCAAATCTTTAGCTACATGTGCATTTTAAGGGTGGAGGGAGTATGATAATAGTGTACATTTCAGGGTCCAGCACAGGCTCTATTTATTTTCAATGCATACTATAATCAATAAAAATAAAACCTGGAAAGTTTGAGTAGACTGCAAGTCAATGCCACAGTAAATCACAAAAGAAAAAAAAAAAACAGAAGTAATTAAAAGTAAAAAATACTTACTGGGATTCTGTCATCCTCTCGTCGTCTTCTACCTCTGAAAACAGTTCTCCTTTTAACAATGACACAAAAAGGAGGTGGTTGGAGAAAGAACTCATACATTTCTTCAAATATATACATTCTATCAAAACCGAGTGAATCTCTATTTTAACTATCTATTCTTCTAAACCTCCATTATTGTTAAAAGATAAATATAATCTTCTAAAGGGAACCTGAGCTAATCTACCAAAAACTTCAATTACTATCACCACCACCACCACCACAAGTAAGTTGGGCACATTTTTATTAGAAGCACTCTTTCCACACCAGAAGCAGAATAGGATTGTTTTGTTTTGTTCAGAAAGGTTAGGTAGTATATATACAACCTCATTCCCATAGTTTAGAAGAAGTAAGAAATTAGCTATGGCTGGGTAGTTCAGTTGGTTTTGGAGCACTGTACTGATACATCAAGGTTATGGGTCTGATCCCCATCAGGGCACATACAAGAAGCAACCAATGAATACATAAATAAGTGGAACAACAAACTGATGTTTCTCTTTTTCTCTCTCTAAAATCAATCAAGAAGTGAATAAATAAGTTGTAAGAAATTAAAACTATAACGCGGATGGAATTTTATCTTTTTAAGCCATTCTTTTCTCTGTGAACTATAAAAACTTCAGAATAACTTATAAATCTGACTCAATATATTCTATAAAAACACTCTAAATTTCTTAATAATTATGAAAAAACTATTAATCCATTTTATGTAAAAATTTATTTAGCACCACCAATAATTAAGTCTAAAAAAAACACTAGATCATTGTTTACAAATATTCACATTATGATCAAAGGAGTTTCATATACCTTATTTCCATATTTCCTTACCTGCCCCTACCATAGTCCCCATTCTGTTCAATCTGCAAAGTTGGAGTCTCTTTTGGAAGGTAGTTTTGCTCCTGATGTCCCATTACTGTAGGGTTATACCGTTCAGTTGGAAAGTTCCTTGAACCAGATCTATTTACTGGTCCATCCCCCAATGACACAGAGCCCTCTGAGTGTTCTGAACCACTTGATGACCTAAAATGAGGCTTCACACTATAAAAAATATAAGATCATATACATGAAACGATAAATCAAGACAGAAAATCTTTCTTCTTAATGGTAGAAACTCTTAATAGGTCAAGTTAAAAACTGTTTTTTGCTGTTTCCTGATTTTCCCTTAAGTTAAACATAAAATTGTTGTATGAAAATGTAAACCCTTTTATGTCCCAGATATATTATTTTTAAAAGGCAAATAATTTTCGCATTAAAAAGTTGTTTGGCCCTGGCCGGTTTGCTCAGTGGTTAGAGCAAAACCACTTGGACCAAAGCGTTGCAGTTTGATTCTGGTCAAGGGCACATCATACCTTGGTTGCGATTCGCCTTGGTTGGGGTTGTGCAGGAGGCAACCAATCGATGTCTCTCTCTCTCTCTCACATCAATGTTTCTCTCTCTCCTTCTCACCCTATCTGAAACTCAATGGAGAAATATACTAGGGTGAGAATAAAAAAAAAACAAACAGAAAGTTGATTGGAGCCTGGCTGGTGGGGCTCAGTGATTGAGCGTCAACCCATGCAACAAGAGAGGCTGCCGGTTCAATTCCCAGTCAGGGCACATGTCTGGGTTATGGGCCCCATCCCCAGTGGGAATGTGCAGGAGGCAGCAATTGATGTTTCTCTCACATCCATATTTCTATCTCTCTCCCCCTCTCCCTTCCTCTGTCTCTAAAAAAATAAATAAATAAATTTACTTGGAGACATTTGGGGGAAGATCCAAAGTTCTTTGAAATAAAGCTACGTCTACATCAATACTCAGAATAAAACTAGGATTTTAACTACTTTCTTTAATATGAGCTCCAGTCTTGACACATTTAAATCAGCCAGGCTTTAAAGTTATTAATGAGTCTATGCCATGCATGCTCAATGGGGCATCATCTCCAACAAAGGGAGTAAAAATTGTTTGTTGTGGCCAGTGTGGCTTGGTTGGTTGAGTGTCTTCCTATGCACCATGAGGTTGAAGGTTTGATCTCCAGGAGGGAGGAGGCAGCCAATCAATGTTTCTTTCTCTCATCAATGTTTTTCTTTCTCTCTCAAATCAATTTTTAAAAAATAGTTCAATTCCAGGTCAGAGTACATGCTCCGATTGTGGGCTTGGTCCCCAGGAGGGGACATGCAGGAGGCAGCCAACTGACATACTGTTCTCACATCGATGTTTCTCTCTCCCTCTTCCTTCCTCTCTCTCTCTCTAAAAATAAAAATTAAAAACATTTTCTCATAGGGGGAAATCAGAAGAAAAAGTCTAAAAGGTTCTTTTTAAGGGAGTGACAATACATTTTTTAAAGAAGAGTAAGAAATGGTGGAATGTATTAAAATCCCAGCTTCTTACTAAGCATCTCTCCCCAAATGAAATCTGTTTTTCAAAGATCCTTATATGGGACAAAAAACTAGGAAAATATAATGCAACTAACAGCCTGATATGACTTCATGAATTAAGGTATGAAATCTGATAAAAATAAAACAAACTAAAAAAGCTACTTCTAACAAAAGTAGCTTTTATCTTGGATGATATGTATAAGCACCCAACTCTCTAACAATTTATAAGCAGATAAAGCTATGGTAAAGGAGAAAGGATGCAGTTTAATTAATAGTGAAAATTTCTAAAGTAAGTCCAAGCAACTGAGGATCTTGGCTCTATAGATTAAACAAGAAAGTATAAGACTTATATTTAGCTTCTTGCTTGCAGTTTATATACTCCATTTTTACAGTCTATTTTCTTTATTTGTTGTTTACTTTTATTTACAGTCTATTTTCATAGTTACAAATTCATAATATTAATAACTGTCAATTCCCAGTTCTCTGAATAAAGATTTGAAACGTACTAATTATAAGCCCAACAATTAAACATTAATTCCAACAGCATCTCCAGCTTGACTCTTTAAAAAACAAAAATTAGGTTACTTAAAGATAAAACTCAGGCTACAGAGTTGGACTGAGTTTAATGAGATAATATTTTTCCAGATAATTACTTCCCGTCACAAAATACATTTTTAATAGCAATAAAAATTACTGTATGTCAATTAACACAACATACTTATAAAAATATTTATACTATTCATCATATCTGAAAATGATCCCATTAAGTAGCTATGCTGTCTACATTATCTGTTCAGAAACTTCCTACCTAACTTTTCACATTGTATTTCAATACACCTAATGGACAAATTAGGTTTAAACAGCCCTCAGATCTCATAATCTTACCCTTCACTGAGAGGGACTCACAATCTCAGTCTGGGCAAAAGAAAGAAAGAAGCAATAAAAGATAGAAAGGAAGAGGTAAAATGACAGAAAGATAAACTATGAAGGTAGAAAAATGCCCAGACTTCTGAAAGTTAGTCCTACTCTCTCTAAGTAGGTCTAGTGATCATCATTGGGCTGTTATAGGTTAATATAATAAACTGCGTAAGGGATCTCTAAAGTTACTTTCTCCTTGACTAACATAAATAAAAAGAGCCCTGGCCAATCTGGCTCAGCGGTTAGAGCATCGGCCTGTGGTCCAGAGACCCGGGTTCGGTTCCCGCTAAGGGCACGGTTGCATTTTGTCCCCGGCCCTCACTGGGTCGTGCAGTTGGCAGTCACTCGATGTGTACCTTTCATGTCGATGTTTCTCTCTCTCTCTCTCTCTCTTCCTCGCTCTCCCTCCCACTCTATCTGAAACAAAAATGAAAAAAATGTCCTCGGGTGAGGATAAAAAAAAAAAAAAAAAGAAAGCTCTGGCAGCAGTCACTTCTTAGAAATAAAAAAACAAAGATTTGAGTTGGGGGTCAAAAGCTTTTTTACCTGTAATATTTTGCATTTATATAAGAAAGTACTCATGTACTATTTCTTTAAGTAAAAATTAACAGCAATTGCACTGGTCAAACATATAGAAAATAATTATACACAGATGGTTTTGAGTAACAAGCAAAATTATAATAAACCTGCCCTGTATCTTCAAAACCATAGGCACACCTCCATAAAAGCTAAGATGACTTACTTGACTATCATTTTTGGCTTTCTTATTGTAATCTTACCCCCTTCATCAAGAAAGCACAGCAGCAAAGACAAGTGACAATAAAACACAATGAAAACACTGAGTTATTTTTAAGTCGAGCATCTGCAAACATCAGTACTTTTAATTTTAACCCTGGCCAGTGTGGCTCAGTTGGAGCATCTTCCAGTACACCAAAAGGTGTTGGGTTTGATTCCTGGTTAGGACATGTACAAGAGGCAACAAATCAGTGTTTCTCTCTCTCTCTCTCTCTCTACCTCTCTCAAATCAAATTTTAAAAAAGCAGAGGGAAAGGTGTGGGTAAAGATGAAGTGGAGGAGGATATAAGGGAGACAAATGGTGATGAAAAATATATTTAAAATAAATTTTTTAATTGCTTTCACAGCTATGTGGATTGCAGCATGAAGATTATAGTCAATAATGTCAATATAATGGGGTATAGGGCCAGGTGGGTGCTTGGGGCAGAGGGAGGACAACTCTATAGAGTGCATAGTTTTCTGGCCACTGTGCTGTACATCTAAAACTAGTGTGGAATGGTACTGAATGTACATTGTGACAGAAAAATTATAAAAATGAAAAAAAAATTTTTTTCACTGCTTTTATTCTATCTCATAACAAAGACGTCTATTCTACTTAAAAATTCACCCCTTTGGCTTGACTGGTATAGCTCAGTGGTTGAATGTCGACCCATGCACCAAGAGGTGCTAATTTGATTTCCAGTCAGGGCACATGCCCAGGTTGTGGGCCTGATCCCCAGTTGGGGGCATGCAGCAGGCAGCCAACTGATGTTCTCGCTCATCAATGTCTCTATCTCCCTCTCCCTTCCTCTCTCTCTAAAATCATTAAAGAAAAAAAAATTTATGTTAAAAAAAAAATTTCACCCTTTTGAGAGAGATATATATATATATATTTTTTTATCCTCACCCGAGGACATTTTTGCATTTATCTTCAGACAGAGCGGGAGGGGGGGGGGGGAGAGAGAGAGAGAAAAAACATCAATATGAAAGAGACACATTGACTGGTTGCCACCCACACGACCCCAACCGGGGCCAGGGACAAACTGCAACTGAGGTATGTGCCCTTAGTGGGAACTGAACCCAGGTCTCTCTGGTGCGTGGGCTGACAATCTACCCACTGAGCCAAACCAGCCAGGGCACCACTTTGATATGTTTAAGAAAAAACTTAACCAAGTATGATGGTACAGAAAAAGGAAATGTTCTAAATCTCAGATATGTTGGTAATAACTAGCCATGTAACCCTGGCAAGATATTTGTCCTCTTCAACTTTCACTTTCTTCATCTGTAAAATAAGTTAAAACTATATCATAACAATCTGGTCTTTTCAGATTTAAACATCCTTGTCTCTAATGAAATAATCCTTTCTGAACAACAGGAGGAGAGTCAGAGCACAAGGTATGTCATTAAGGTTCCCTTTTCTCCTCACATGTCCTAGCAATACTTGAATTTTGCAGTAAATTGTTAATGTATCACTAAGTCATCTACAAGAGCAAAAATAGTATTTTGTTTATTAAGAATCTTTCATTCTTATGAGATCTCATCTGAAAGTTCATAAATAAGAATGTGTGTATGTGCCCGGCTGGTGTGGCTCAGTGGTTGAACGTGGACCCATGTACCAAGAGGTCGCTGGTTCGATTCCTGGTCAGGGCACATGTCCAGGGTGTGGGCCAAAACTCCAGTGGGTAGCATGCAGGAGGTGGCCAATAGATATGCTCTCTCATAAATGTTTCCTTCTCTCTCTCTAAAATCAATCAATAAAAAAATTTTAAAAATAAAATAAAATGTGTGTATGTAGTAAAATTTTCCTAACACTTAAAAATGATCTTCGAATGCTTTAACCAATTGTGTCAAGTTGAAGAGAGTACAAATATTTTGACTATTAGAGGTAGTACATATGTATGCTTCCAGAATCAACTAAAAATATTTTTTAATACCTTAAGACCTTTTTCTCCAGTGAAACATTTAAAAAAAAAACAAACCTTACAAAAAAGAATTATGGCCCTGGCCGGTTTGGCTCAGCGGTTAGAGCGTCGGCCTGCGGTCCAGAGAGACCCGGGTTCGGTTCCTGCTAAGGGCATATACCTCGGTTGCAGTTTGTCCCCGGCCCTGGTTGGTCGAGCAGGTGGCAGCCACTCGATGTGTCCCTTTCACATCGATGTGTCTCTCTCTCTCTCTTCCTCTCTCTGAACAACAAAACAAAAAAAATGGAAAAATGTCCTCGGGTGAGGATAAAAAAAAAAAAAGAATTATGTTCCTAGAATTTGTCTTGGAAAAACACCCTATGTGGTCTCTTTGCCAAAAAAAAAATCAACTGGGAGAACAAAAACTGGCAAAAAAAAAAAAAAAAATCACTGAAAAGAAATAATTTGCCCTGGCCAGTTTGGCTCAGTGGTTGAGCATTGGCCTGCGAACCAGGGAGTCCCAGGTTTGGTTCCTGCTAGGGGCACATACCACACACAAAAAAAGAGAGAGAAATAATTTCAAGGGGTTCTGGTGGGGGTTAAGGGGGAGAAACATCTGTAACAAAAATAAATTAATAAAAATTGAAAAAAATAAATAAAGTACTTGTAGGCAGTTAAAAAAAAAAAAGAATTTCATATAAACAAAAACAAAACCCAGGAGGCTCACAAAATAAGCAAACATAAAATAAGCAAAAAAAAAAAAAAAAAACAAACCAAGAAATGTAAAACTATTAAATAAATCTAAACCACTATATATGAGCCCTTTCTTTGGTTACTCATAGTCTGTCAAAAGCCATAATATATACCAAATTATTATCAGTTGATATTTAATATAAAGAATAATACCTAAGAATAATCAATTTTTTTTAAACCTCACCTGAGAATATGTTTCCATTGATTTTCAGATAGAGCAGGTGAGAGGGAGGTAGAGAGAGAGAGGGAAAAACATCAATGCAAGAGAGACATCCATTGGTCGACTCCTGCACAAACCCAATAAGGGCCGGGGATGAAACCGTATCCGAGGTACATGCCCTTGACCAGAATCAAACCTGCGACTCTTTGTTCTGTAGGCTGATGCTCTAACTGCTGAGCCAAACTGGCCAGGGCAGAACATGTAAAGCCTTTAAAACAGAACTTTAAACATTAAATGCCCAATCAATGTTGTCATCTATTATACACTGTAATTAGTGAAAATTGTTTTAAAAACCAATTTTTGAAAATCCTAAATAATTAATTTATTATTTATTACTCAATTCAGTCAGCAACATTTCTATCCTCAAAAATATGCTCATTCTTGCCCAGTATGTGGCTCAGTGGTTGAGGATTGACCCATGCACCAAGAGGTCGCCGGTTTGATTCCCAGTCAGGGCACATGCCCAGGTTGTGGGCCTGATCCCCAGTGGGGGGCATGCAAGAGGCGGCCAATCGTTAATCTCTCTCATCAATGTTTCTATCTCTCTCTCCCTCTGCCTCCCTCTCTCTCTAAAATCAATAAAGAAAAAAAAATTTTTTTAGAAATGCTCATTCTCCAAGATGTTACCTATTTAACACACTAAAAGGCATTCAGACACTAGATTTCATGTTATTACCATAAAATGTACTTTCTATTTGTTTTATTATTTTTAAAAAAATCAATATGATTTTGTACAATCTTAGTCCCAAGTTCTTTTTATACCCATTATCAACTCTGAGGTCAAAATGTGTTTATGAATTCTAGATTAAATCACCAGACTTTTTATACAAAACAAAAATTCTGTTTTATTGAATCTGCAAATAAGTATCGCTATAAACACAATAACTCTATAAGAACTATTGAGAATTGCTTACAATAAATTCCAGCCATGATTTTTATCTTACCGATTTTTTTGGAACTGTCGGCCCATATTCACAGCAGTAGCATTGGTTTTATAAGCTCCTGGTGTATTAAAGCCATTTACAAAACTACTATTGGGAAAGGGAGCCTGAAAAAAAAAATTTAATGTTTAAAAACAATTAATAATAAAGGCAAAATCTGGTGTGAAATTTCTAGCATCAACTTCTTCCTGAAGCTCAAAATAATTTTAAACATTTTACTTATTCACTTTTGCAAAACATTATAGAGTAAGAAATCACTAGTTCATTACTTAATAAAAACACTTTTCTTTGAAAAAGTTTCACAAAACTAAAAGCAATTTAAATCACTGGATTTATTCAGTCTCTAACAATTCACTCAGCAAAATATAAAGAATAAAATTACAGAAATCAATAGCTCAACACTTAGTCATATGCATACATTTGTTATAGAATGTTATAATCTTCATCACTACTTAAAAGCCAGAAAATAACCAATCAACACAACACACACACACAAATGAATTCCTACACTAGCTGATTTTTTCAAATTTTAGCTTAAGTGAAAAATGTTATTATTCTGTAAAGATCTCACTTACCAGTGGCGTTTCAAAATAAGGTGCAGGATTTGGAGACCAAGACTGAGGCACAATACTATAGACGGAGTACTGTTGGTGAGGACTATATACAGGCTGCATAAAGACTGGTGAGGCATACTGTGCTTGAGTTTGAATGGGCTGACTATACATACTAGAATCCATTAATCGATAACCATTCTTAGCAAAAAATGTATTGATGGCTTTTATCCTTGCCTAGAAGGGGAACACATACAACAACAAAGGACTAAGTGTGTATTTTTACTAATACATTTAATTAAAAATTTTAAGGTAGTTTACACAACTACATTATTTCTGTCTATTGTAGAACCAGAACAGCAATGGAAAAGGAAATGATAGCTTTAATGAATTGAAACGCATGTATGGCAAATACCACAATAAACAAAGTAAAACCACAAAGTCAAAACAGGGAAACTAACTGCAACTTATCACAACGAAGGGGCTAATATTTCGAATATATAAATTCTAAAAAAAAGAAGATTTAAACACCAACAATCCTACATAAAAATGAGTTTGAAAAATGAACAGTTCATACACACACACAAGAGAGAAAATGGCTTTTAAACATATGAAAAGATGCTAACCTTGCTGATAAAGAGAAATGTAATTAGAATTGGATTAGCATTTCTCATTCATACAATTGGCAAAAGTCCAAAACAGGAAATCTGATACATTAATGATGGTCATGCAAAATGGCACAGCACTTATAAAGGAAAATTTAGCAATATCTTCTAAAATACAAATGCATTTACCATATTCTCATCAATCCCACTTCTAGAATCACTCCCAAATATACATTGACCAAAATAGTTTTTTTTGTTGTTGTTGTTCTCCACCATAGGACATTATTCCACTGATTTTTAGATACAGTGGAAGGGAGGAAGGGGGAACAGGGAGATAACAAAACATCGATGTAAGAGAGACATCAGTTGGTTGCCTCCCGCACAACCCTGACCAGAGCTGGAAATCAAACCTGCAACCCCCTTTGGTTGGAGGATCATCTCTGACTGCTGAGCCAAACCAGCCAAGTTTGACCAAAACAGTTAAAAAAAATTTTTTTTTACTTACTAATAAGTAGAGAGAGAAATGAAGGGGGAGACATAAAGAAACATTGATTTGTTGTTCTACTTATTTAAGCATTCATTGGCTGACCAGGATCGAACCTTCAACATTGGTGTATCAGGACAACGTTCTAATCAACTGAGTTACCCAGCCAGAGCCAAGACAGTTTTTTTTAAAAGGATGCCCACTGCTATTCACTGACATTATTTGTAATGGAGGCAAAAGGGAGACTCCCTAACACACACCAACACATGTACACACAAAACAACCCAACATTCCATCGATGGTTGAATACGCCACAATACACGCACAAATACTGAGTAACACGCACAAATACTGAGTAACACACAGATGTAAAATGAACTGAGGAATTGCTCTAAATACTATTATGAAGTGATTTCCAGAATATATAAAATACTGAAGAAAAAGAGGCAAGGCAAGGAGAAGTGTATGTATCATAAGCTATTCTTTAGCTAAGCCAGATGAAAATATGAACATATTTGCATACACATATGTATGTGTGAATATGTATCTAAAATATTTTACTTTTAAACCATGCACATTGAAAACCAAATTTTAAAAAATCAATGTGTTGCCCTGGCCGGTTTGGCTCAGCAGTTAGAGCATCGGCCTGCAAACCAGAGAGTCCAGGGTTTGGTTCCTGCTAAGGGCACGTACCTCGGTTGCAGTCTGTCCCCAGTCCCAGCTGGGGTCGTGTGAATGGCAACGACTCGATGTGTCTCTGCCATATCAAAGTTTCTCTCTCTCTCTCTCTCCCCCTCCCACTCTAACTGAAGATAAATGCAAAAATGTCCTCGAGTGAGGATTAAAAAAATAAATTAAAAAAATCAATGTGTAAAAGTTCAAAGCAAATAGGTCAAAATGTATATCTAATTAATAATATAATACAGACAAATCCTAAGTGACTTTGAACCAGAGTAGATATCAACTGTGTCCTAGCTGGTGTGGCTCTGTTGGTTGGGCCTTGTCCTGGGCACTAAAAGACTGCCGGTTCAATTCCTGGTCAGGGCACATGTCCAAGTTGCAGGCTTGATCCCTAGTAAGGGGCATGCAGGAAGCACCTGATCGACATTTTGCTCTCATATCATTGTTTCTCTCTCCCTTCCTCTCTCTTTAAAAATCAATTTTTAAAAAATCAACTGTTATGAATATTCTTTACAAATAAACCACAAGGCAAAGTATGGAAAATTTCTTCATTTATTTTTCAGAATTATATTGCTACTAGTATTGTTATTTTGATACTTTGTATGTGATTATGGGATTCATCAAATCAATATTATATTGGTAGTCACTGAGATCTGATTTTCACATGGGGGAAAGGGGAGATAAGCCCTGACTGGTTTGGCTCAGTGGTTAAAGCACTGACCCAGGGTCTTGGATTCGATCCCCAGCCCCAGGCAACCAATGTTTCTCTCCCGCTCCACCTCCACTTCCAGTCTATCTAAAAATCAATGGAAAAATATCCCCTGGTGAGGATTAACAACAAAAAAAAAAAAGTGGAGGGGAGACAAATGTGAAACTGAAAATGTAAAAACCATGTCACCTGAATTGAAATCAGAAGCATTAGTTTAAATTCATGACATATTTTGTCTTAAAAACAAATCAAACACATATTTCATAGCTCTGTCCAATGAAAAAAGGCTCAGAACCAATGACTAAACCAGTAGCCACAAGCACTCATGAATACTAAGTATCATTTCTTCATAAAAGTAACATGGGGACTCTGGAAAGTTGGCTGATCCCAAGACTTTGACACAAAATGTACAAAAGGCTGAATACCCTGGTCACACTAGAGAGCAAACAAGCCATTGAAAATTATTAGGACCACAGTAAAAGAACTCATGAGTAAACTCAAAGAGGCCATACTTCAACAACGAGGACAATAAGCACACCAAATATGTTTAAATACTTAAAAAAAAAAAAAATTGAATGGTCATTTTTGAAGGCTGCCAGAAAACCAATATACTATTTTCAAAAACAGATAATAAAAGCTAGAACCAAGCATTTATCATGCATTTTTCTCAGTGAGCTATACCCCAGGGAAATGAGGATGAGGACAAGCTTCTCTTTATAGATTTCAACTAATAAATGGAAAAAAGATAACACAGAAATAGTACCACTCTGCAACCCTTAACCCCGAAGAATTAACAGATCTTGTTGATGATCAGTAGCAGCTACCATTAGACACAGACACATATTTTATATGCTTTTGTTCTCTCTCTCTCCACTGCTCCAAAATCAAATCCAATTCTATTGAAGCCTCTAGATCTAGCTACCAATTTGCATGAAATACAGGGGACCAAGAATCATGTTAAACTACACTCAAGAATATAACTAGCCAATTCAAAGATGGACAAAGTACTTGAATAGACATTTCTCCAAAGAGAACATACGAATGGCCAATAAGCACAAGAAAAGATGCTCAATATCACTAGTCAGTAATGAAATGCAAATCAAAACTACAATGAAATTCCATCTAATGTATTCTTCATTTCAATTCTTGCATTATTCATTTCTGACTGGTTCTTTTTTATATTCTTGTTAAGTGATGCAGGACTATACTGGCACATATAGAAAAAATTAAACTTGAAAAATGGCAGATTAACTTCTACTGAATCATTATTTGAGCAAGAAAGAGTGCTTGGACACTCATGATGAGTAGAGGAGTGCTTAATAAAGGGAGAGGCTGCTGATTTTTCCTAAGTGAGAAAAAAAGTAGCTACCACTCCCATTCTTCAGTGACCTGTGTTCCAGGTGTGGCTGCATGATGCCAAGGCAGGTTATGAGGACTTTGTCCTCAAATATGTGAGGTGTGTTGTGGTTAGTCTGATGGATATGTGAGGGATCTGTGTAAGATGCTTGCCACAATTTTGGCCCTCTTCACAGCAGCTGATTCCCTGATGATGTCTAACTTAAAACTTAAATCTGCCGTAAAAAGGAAAGCTTGCCCGGACAGTGTGGCTCAGTGGTTGAGCTTCGACCCATGTACTAAGAGGTCACCAGTTCGATTCCTGGTTAGGGAACATGCCCAGGTTGTAGGCCAAATTCCCAGTGGGGGACATGTAGGAGGCGGCCAAATGTTCTCTTTCATCGATGTTTCTATCACTCCTTCTCCTTCCTCTCTCTCTAAAATCAATAAAGAAAAAAATTAAAAAGGAAATCTTATCCTTTGAAACAGTATGAATGGACCTGGAAAGCATTTTGCTAAGTGAAATAACCAGTAAGGGAAAGACAGTACCATATGATTTCACTTAAAAGTGGAATCTAATAAACAAAATAAACTAACAAACAAAATAGAAAAAGACTCACAGAGACAGAGAACAGATTGACAGCTGTCAGAGGGGACAGGGGTTGACAGCTGGGTGAAAAAGGTAAAGGGATTAAGCAAAGTTAAATAAAACAAAAAAGCTCACAGACAAAGACAACAGTACAGTGATTAACAGTACAGGGAAAAGGGGCGTAAAGGGAGGCTGAAGAGAGTAGAGGAGGTATGAATGGAGATGGAAGGAGACTTGACCTGGAGTGGTTAACACAAAATACAATATAGAGCCCTGGCCGGTTTGGCTCAGCGGTCAGATCATCAGCCTGCGGTCCAGAGAGACCCGGGTTCGGTTACCGCTAAGGGCACATACCTCGGTTTGTCCCCAGCCCTGGGTGGGTCATGTGGGAGGCAGCCACTCGATGTGTCCTTTCACACTGATGTCTCTCTCTCTCTCTCTTCTCTCTCTCCCTCCTACTCTATCTGAACAAAAAATGGAAAAATGTCCTTGAGTGAGGATAAAACAAACAAACAAAATACAAATACAACATACAGAAGATGTATTATAAAATTTTACATCTGAAACCTATATAATTTTATTAACCAATGTCACCCCAATAAACTCAATTAAAAACAAAACAAAACTAAGAGACAGAGCCCTTCACCACCACCACTACCCTGTTTGGAGCCAGACCCTTAAGGAAAGTTTTGTCAGGTCTCAGGCTGAATGCAGGGATAATGGAACAGAAATTTCAGTGATCACAAGGAACACACACTTTGCAAAAATAGTTTGGAAAAGTCACACAGTTACAGCCTTTAACAAGCAAAATATCAGTAATATCTGAGGAGTAGG